TTGAACAACATAGTGCATCTTTAAGCTACTTCAACTACACACAACCACTACCCAAATCACTCAACTCATGGTGGAGAATGGAAATTAGGAACCCCCAGACCGAAAAATATTTTTGGAACTCTAGACCCAAAATGTTTTACCTCTATGCTTTCTCCCCCTTGGATCTTTCTCTCTGTTTCTAACATGCCAAGCCCTTCTTAGCTCTTTCTTTGTTTCTTACATCTCAAAGGATGTATCTTACTGGTTTCTTTAAGCTTCTTAAGGTTTTCTTGCTCTACCTTCCAAACCTCACCCACAACCAGTTCTTTCTCAAAGGTAGCATCCCTGCACTTTTAACAAAAGTTGTAAAAATTTAAATAACTCTACACAGTCAACAATGAAAGCTTAACAATAAATTTCTAGTTCAAACTGCAAGTTGTACTTAATAAGTTGGGCAAAGTTACAAATAATAGACTACAAAGAAATTCAGTAAGAACCCTAAAGACAAAGCCAAAAAAAAAGAACCAATCCTCCAACATAATCTAAATGCACCATAGAGTGAAACCTTAGTATATGGCCACTATTATCAATATGCATTTAAGATTATAACCTTTTTACGTTAACCTAACAGAAGATTAGCTAGTTCTTGCTGATTTTCATAAGCAATTAACACTCTCCAGATTGAAGGCATTCTCTGTATATGACTTCAGATTATTATGGGTCAGCATCAGTAACTTGTCACCATAATTTTGTACCACATAGTTTAAAGAATTACATTAAATTGCTAATGCTCACCTTAATGAGGTCTTGATGGCAGCTGTGATGAATTGCCATATAGGCCCATCAGCTTTAATCACTACTGTGTTCTTATAAAACACCTTCAGCTATCCTGCACTGAAGTAAATTGAGCTTTAATTTTTTTGGTTAAAGATATTATACTTACACATGGACTTGAAACTATTTGGCTTCTGCTTACCTAACTTCAGAAGGTCCAATATTTTGTATTCTTAACTGAGGCATAATCAACCACAACTGTTAGTAAAAACATTCAGCAAGAAATAAGAGGTGGTGGAGAGAAATAAATAGAGAGTTTACACCTAGATTGTGCTGGTTAAAAATATCCAAATCTTCCTTTAAAGCCAGGTAGCCATAGAGTTGGCACTTCCCACCTGGATACAATGGAACTCAAGAACAATCCCCAAGAAACTCTTTCCTTTTGTTTGTTTTCCTAATCCCAGGCATCTCTATCTTTTCTTTGCTCTTTTAAAAGCTTATGGAGACGTACAGCCTCTAAATAACCTACTACTGAACTTTCAAAGATAAAAAACTCATACCCCAGTGCCCTTTTGGGCCATATGAAGTGTGCAACATAGGAGTGTTCAAGCAGTTCTTGACTCCCCATGCCTATTGACTACAGAAGATAATATTCTGTATGATACAATGAACTATATGTCAAGTCAAGAATTATTCCACTCAATAATCAAAAGTCAATAAATAGAAATCAATATTCTATGGATAGGCTAATTTGTGATATTAAGTAAGAATAAGAGAATGAAAGTTCCTTGCTATTTTCATCATATTCATATCTTGTATTTGTTATGATAACCATTGGAGGCCAAACCATTGCATAATCTTTAACTCTTTCATTTAGCCCTTCCACTTGGTTGTCTTGCAGTCCTCATGGCTTGCATCTGAATTATGATCGTACTCATTGAGATCAGCAGTTTGAATTGGCAAAGCATTACCAATAGCCAGCCCTAATCCACATTTTCCTTTCACCCCCAATATCAATGGCACCATATAAAACTTTTCTCCCATATGCATTTTTACCAAAATGAGCGATAATGGATACAGAAACATTTGTACTGTCCATGTCAGTCTGAATATAAAACAAAGAATTAAAAGAGATTAGATATATACTTTCTAAGAAATAAAAACATGAATAAAGTATTAAGTTCTATCACTTCATGAACTTTAGTTGGTACAATCTTCCAAATGCTATCTTTACGGATTTTATTGTATTTGTAAAAAAAAATATACAAATCAAGATGATCTCGTTCGTCACATATTCATAAAACTGATACAAAAGAAAAATGATCAAAACCCAGAATACATGAATACAGGTATTTGTTAGAAAGCAGTTGCCCTTGCTCAACATAACATCAACAAAGAATCTTAATCCCAAAGTTTTAGATGGGATTTCAATTTGCTCAATATGACTTTGGCAAGGATTCCTCAAATTCTAATGCTAATCGTAAACTAAATGTGAAAGATTAAACCCAAATTAAATCTTTCTATAAACCTCAAAAAGAAAGAAAGAACCTTTAACCTATCTTTACACAAAACCTCTTGAAAAGTAGATGCTCAATTAAAAATTTTTGAAAATGATAAAAACAATTGAACCACAAAACAAAGCATTACCTAATTTCCTCAAAGCAGAAGCCAATTCCCGCTGGGTAAAATTTGCAACAGCAGCAGTTGTCAGAGGAATACCGTTACAGATTATCTCTACAAAACTAATAGCAATAGTCTTGATGAACAGACATTGCTTACGCATTCTTTTTGTGCGTTTGCTTTTCTCTGCAAATACTAATGTTAGTTGGGATTCTTTAACCTGTCTCTTTGGAGAGTTTGAGTGCTTTCAAGTGTCAACTCTTTCTTTGCCTCTTTCATCTCCGTTTTCTTTCTTTCTTTCTCTCAACCATTTTTAAACCAAAAAGAATCCAATTTTAGAATTCAACCGATGTATATTATAAGAAAAATAGGGGAGGGGAAGAGAAGGAATATACCTCCAAAGGATTACTAGAAAAACTATAGTAAACAGATATAATGGCCAAGGAAGTGATGCCGAAACTGGACATCACAGCGGCGAGCAGGTATGTTGTCCTCTCGGATCTCTTTTGGGCTAGCTTCTCCACTACATGTGTGGGTATTTAGATCTGGGTATCCTTAATATCATCTGATCCCACCTCCTCTGAAACAAACTGTGAATTTGGATTTCTTCTGAGTTCTGACCATCTAATGGTAATGAAGTGAAGGGGAAAATAGTGGTGCGAGGTAGAAGATGTGGAGTGAGGAGTGGAACGAATGGAAGGGTTTGGCTGTTAGGCTAGAAAGTAAGCCTGCTGCCATGGAAGCAGATGCGGAGAGTGGTGACGGTGCTGATGGCCTGCCTAAATCCTTTGCCCTGGTAGGCTACTACCGGAAGGCGGTGCCGTAGATGTTCTCTAATGGAGAGCAATCGTGGGGTGGTTTCTTGCGGTTTGGCAGATGGAGTTCACCATCAAGACGACTCAAGGACTGGCGTTTTGGGCCAGCCAAGCCCATTAAGGCTACCTTGGAAGCGCTATTAATAATAAGGATTGATTTGATATAAAATTTTATAACAAATTTAATTAAAATGAAATATAAAATGTGAAATGAAAATATAATATAATATTTAAACT